TAAATGCATACTAATGTACATATATTCAGCCTAAAAATACGCTTGTTTACATTAGTAATAAATGTACATACATATGTATGTACTTACTTGCATTCAGGGTATCTTTATTTATACAAAACGAAATTTTACTGAGCACTCCAGTGTGGAAAATGATATTTTTTACGGCAAAATTTTATTAATTCACACATTTCATGATAAGAGATATTTAAATACAAAAAAATAGTATTTTGTGTTTAAAAAAAATACCTTGCTCCCAACGGTCTGGATTCGATACACTACGTCATTCAGCCGTTTAACAACTATATCCGGGCCTTCCCAGGTCCACTGCAGTTTTTTGGGACAAACCTTTGTTCCATTGTGGATTTTACAGCAACACTAAATCCCACTCTTAGAAACCCTCGGAGTTCATCGCCTTATCATATCTGACCTTTATCTTGTTACTCATAATTTGAGTACGCTGTCTCACAAGAGCATGTATCTCTATCAGCTCCTCTTCCAGTATGTTGGACGTCTCTTTTCCAATTTTCCTTGCATCACCACTTACTCCAAACTTCCGGTCACTAGGCACACGGATTTCACTGCCGAAGATTACCTTTGCAAAAGTTTTATTTGTTATTTCATGCACTTCTGACCGGTATCCCATCAGGAATAAGGGTATGTGGACATCCAAATTCTTCTTATTCTTGTCCATGACTTTCAGCAAATGCTCTTCCAGGGCGCGGTTCAACCGTTCCATCATGCCATTTGATTGGGGATGAATAGCCGTTGTTCGAGTTTTCCGGATACCCGGTACCCGGCACATCTCTTGGAATGCCGCCGATTCAAAATGTCTTCCCTGGTCAGAGTGCACCTCTATAGTTACACCGTATCTCGCAACCTAATTGTAGCTGAATACCTCCGCTACTGTTCAAGCTTCCTGATTTAGAAACGGATATACCTCCGGACATTTTCTAAAGTAGTCCATAACCACAAGGGCGTATTTTCTTCCTAGTCTGCTCATAGGAAATGGACCGGCTACATCCATGGCAATCCACTCGAATGGTACACCTAATTTATATTGCTTCATCTGGCCATGACTTCTGTATTTCGACGCTTTACCTGCAATACTCACCGCATAGTTAGCAATACACTCTGCGACCGATTGCCGACAATCAACCCAATAGAACCTCTGCTTGATCATATCCAGGGTCTTCGTGATTCTCAGGTGCCCTCCACTGGGACCATTCTTGAGAACGTCCGGAGCTCTTACCGTCGGGAGTACTATTAAACTGCGAGAGCACTTCACTTTCGCATACCATATGCAAACAGCCACATATAAATTTTAAGCTGGAACAGTCAGCCCAGTATGCCTTATCGTTTGAGATCTCCGCGGCCATTTTCTCCTTAGTTGGTCGTCTGTCCGTCTCAAGTCCATGCATCAAAAGCTCCAGACCTGGATCTTCCTGCTGATACTTTCTTAGCTGTTACAGGCTACATTGTCGACGAGACATGGCACCAGCATTTCCGTGGACACTTCCCTTGCGCTGCTCAATAGCGAAGTCATAACTTTGAGTCTCTCAATACACCGAGCTAGCTGTCCTTCTGGATTCTTAAATTGTAATAACCACCTCAGCGCTTCGTAATCCGTTCGAATTCGGAAACGTTGCCCATAGAGGTATTTGCGGAAATGTTTGAAACACTCCACCAACGCAAGTAGGTTTCTCCGAGTTATGCAGTAGTTCCTCTCTGGTTTTCCAATCGATCGGCTATAGTAGGCGACTACCTTCTTCTGCCCAGTAATTACCTGCATCCGTGGCGTTGGACCTGTAACCGGGTTCGTTAGCATCGGTGCAGTATATAGCCGTTCCTTCAGAGCTTGGAAAGCCTACTCCTGCTCCTCATTCTAGTCGAAGGCTCTATTTTTCCTAGTGAGCTGATGGGGGCTATTAGCAATGCTGGCGAGATTCGGAACAAACGGTGATAGTAAGTACATAGTTCACGAAAAATCCATAGCTCGTACAAGTCTCTAGGTCTTTGCCAATCTTTTACTGCTTTTATCTTAGGTCGTTTACCTCCTTCTTTAACCGTGAGCTCTTTTAAGGACTTCTTTTGAGATCGTCGCCAGCTATCCT